TTCTTTTTTTAAATGTACATAATTTTTTTTTTTATCTTAATATGATACCTAAAGATAGAGCAGTGACAGTAAATTTTAGACTTAACATATATCAACGCACAATATCGTGCTCTAAAAAAATCTAGATTTCGGGATCAAAATATCGCGGAAATATCGGATATCAAATGGGAATCCAAATTCATCCTATACAGATTTTATTGCAAGAATAAGCTTTCAATATATAATTATTGTATTTAGTATAATTGATTAATATAATAATTTATGTATTCAAACTGAAGAAATTCAATTTATTTTGTACACCACATCTCTATTTTTCCTCAACTACATCAATATACATTTAATTACCTTCTGATTTTGAAATTATTTTCTAATTAGTATAATAATTACAAATTTTAAAAATCAAATTTCAAGAAATGCAAAGGAAAAAATAACTTTATGATTTAACATATTTTTATTTAAATCATCGGAACGATTATAAAATAAAAATATTTTCGCAAATTATATATTAAAAATATATCTTCAACATATTAATAAAGAGATTCAACTTATGTTTATCACTCCACGCCTCCTTTTTTTATTGCTTATTGACGAATTTAGTTTCTGACTTTAGAGTGCATTAAATGTATTAAATTAATATGAGTGTATTAAATTTTAATTTTACAAAAAATAAAACTCACCTCATTCTTAATGAAATCATTTAGATGTACAAGTTTTAAAATAAGAGAATATTTACTTAAAATAATGAAAATGAATAGATAAAAAAGTGTAGAATTATACCTTTTAAATCAATCCTATTTAAGATATCTATCGCTTTGGCCTAATTTTAAAATCTAATCGCAGAAGAGTTATCTATTTTTAAAAATTAATAATCAACATGTCTTGAGGTATTAAATGTCATTTCTCCGCACGCATCCCTGTTAACACAATCAAAGTATCATGCTGTGGAACATGGAACTTTCGTCTTTTGTTTTTTAATTTTCCCGCCTCTTTGTTTTGTTCTGGTTACGGTTAATAACCTCATAACACGTTAAAGAAAAGAAAAATCGTTTTCATTTAAAGATCGACTTAAATTGAATGAGATGGTAAAGTAGGTCTTTGGTCAGCTGAGGGCTCTTTCTTTCCAATAAAACAGAAAAAACTGTGATATGAGAAGACATTGAAAGAGAAATTGTGGGCCACAAGGTCGTTTTGTTAGATCACATGCCAGTTTTTTTGAGGAAATCGCGAGCTATAAAGAAGGAAATGGTCTGTAAATAAAATTATCGTTTGCGCTCGTTCTTATAAAGAGGAATTTTGTACTTTTTTTTAATAGTGCAACTAAGAAATAAGCTGATTCACAGATGTTACATTACCTATTACTAGCAATGATCTTTCAGACCTTAGGCCTAAATTTTTACAAAAAACGAGAAAGAAAAAAAATCTCGTTAAAGAAATAAATTTAATCAAGTAGATCTCACTGCTGTAAGGAAGTACATTCAATTGCTAGTTTGAAGTATATAACTAGCAACAAGTTTTATTCCATGGAAGTTACTTCAAAACGCAGACTTTTACCCTTGTTTAGAATCAATAATAAATAAAAAAAAAGAAACGGGTACGGAAAAAGTAAAAATGTTGATATTTATAAATAGCTGAAACAATTGAGTTAAAATTAAAATTGAATCTCTTTGAAGCAAACATTTTGCACTGAAGGTTTTGATGTTCAGATGCATGTCCCATGTGTTTTAAATTTATTTATATCATTATAAATTTATTATTTTTCAAAATTTAATTCATCTTAGGAAACATAAATTTACCTAAATGAACAATATATTTTTTCAGCATGAAAATCATAAGAAATATGTAATTGAAAAAATTAAAAATTTTTGGTAACCCAATGTAACATTATTTGAAATTAGTATCATAATCCTGGTATTTTTCTTTAATATGTTATTGAAGTAAGATAACGTTCTATAAAAATAATAATAAAAATAAAAAAGTGAATAAAATGGTGAGACTGATGAGAATACTGGTCTTGCTCGACTGAAAAGCAACAAAAAAACACCATGTTTCCGCCCGGGATCGAACCGGGGACCTTGCGCGTGTGAAGCGCACGTGATAACCACTACACTACGGAAACGATACCGAATAGTGAGTAAATACGGCAGTAAAAAATAATTTTTGTTTATAAATTTTTATTTTTTTTAAATGAAATTAGTTGAGGAGCAAAAGCCCAAAATTTCCATAATCTATAAAAACTATTTATTTATATCTCTTATTTCTTGCTTTTTAAGCTAAGATTTTCAAATATTCAACATCTCTGAAAGAGGCAATTTAATTATTAAAGCGCAATATTGCAATTAAACACGATTTTATTCAATGATAAGATTTATTTGTTTAATATTAGAAACAATGTGTTTGTTATTGTTGAATGAGGGGTGTTATAAAGTTCTGTATGGCAAAAAGTTAGAAGGTTTAGTTAGTATATGCATTAAAATTGGCAACTATTATGCAATGTCCAAAAATTTTAATTTCATTAATTTGTTCCAAATGTTTATTAATGACTTTATAGGCTTTAACATATGATATATACTTTAAAAAATAAATATAATAATATTAAATGCTACTTAATAATATTAAATATCACTAAAAAATTCCTTTTGTTAATTTACTTATATTTTGCCTTGTTTTTCGTATTATAAAGAGGAAAATAAAATTTCTGATGGTGCGTTTTTTAAAATGAAACTTCTTTTTAGAAAATTACGTAATAATTTTTTTAACATTTTTATAAAATTAAATTTGTGTTCAGTCCAGTGGAATAAAAATGGTTATCACACATTTGACAGTATCGAAATGATCACATAAATATCAGAAATACCGAGTGTATTTTGAAGCATTACTCTCAACTGATAGTGCAAATGCATCACTTTACTCTTTTTATTTTATGTGTTCCTTTTTTTTTCTTATTTTGTGTAAAAAAAAAATATAAGTGTTAACTAATAAAAAGCTTTCAAAAAGAAGGAAAGGAAAAGTCAATTCAATAATTGAAAATTTATTTATTATGATAACTTAAATACATTTGTTCCTTTATTCAAGGAATGGTTGAAAAGAAAAAAATGAAGAGTAATTCCAGTAATTGAAAATTCATTGCTTTTGATAACGTAGATTAATTTGTTCTTTGTTTTCAAAAAATGAAAGAATGATTAAAAAGAATAAAATGAAGAGTAATTCCAGTAATTGAAAATTCATTGCTTGTGATAAAGTAGATTAATTTGCTCTTTTTTTTTAAACAATGAAAGAATGACTATAAAAAAGAGAAATGAAAAATAATTCCAGTAATTGAAAATTCATTGCTTGTGATAACGTAGATTAATTTGTTCTTTGTTTACAAAAAATGAAAGAATGATTAAAAAGAATAAAATGAAGAGTAATTCCAGTAATTGAAAATTCATTGCTTGTGATAGCGTAGATTAATTTGCTCTTTTTTTTAAAACAATGAAAGAATGACTATTAAAAAGGGAAATGAAAAATAATTCCAGTAATTGAAAATTCATTGCTTGTGATAACGTAGATTAATTTGCTCTTTTTTTTTAAACAATGAAAGAATGATTATAAAAAAAAAAGAAATGAAACGAAATTCCAGTAATTGAAAATCTATTGATAGTGATAACGTAGATTAATTTGTTCTTTGTTTTCTCAAAAATGAAAGAATGATTATTAAAAAAAGAAATGAAAAGTAATTCCAGTAAATGAAAATTCTTTTCTTATGCTAACGGGCAAAAATTAGTCCCCCCCCCCACCGTTTTAGTTAGTATTCAATAAAAAATCGAATAGAAATATATGATTCATGTTTAATAATGCATACGTTTAGTCTCACTATTATTGAACTGTTATTAACTTATTATTAACTTTTAAAGAAGTTCTTAAACGTTTAATGTGTAATTAATTCCTTTTTTCTGCCAGTTCCCTTGTCGTTCGGGGCAGATTTTCATGCAAAAGTTGATTTAATCGCTGTTCATCGAGTAACCAGAGCGAGGAGTGATATTTAAGTCAAAGTGCTCCTTTTTAAACTTGATAGAAGAAATCATAAGCAGTTCTTCCAGCTATGGGTTCCTCTCCATACACAGCACAAATATCACGAGCAGATTTTGCGACTTTGGAACCTTGAATAAAAACAAAAAGAAGAAAGTTTCGAAAATGATCTTTCTTCTCAACTTGGCATATTCCATTTTAAGGGAATGTTCATTGAAAAAAAATCTTCGTTCGAATGATTTATAACAGTGGTTATTAACTGGCTGCCCACGGGCCACATCCAGCCCGCGAAGCCCTTTTTTGTGGCCCGCGAACTAAAATATATTAGTTGTCATTTTTTTGCGGACAATTTTCGTAAAAATCTATATGAGTTTAAAGTACTTTTCTTCGTTAAAAAAACACCCTAATTTCTTCGTTTCTGGGAAATTTAACATACCAATGGTGCAAAAAAATTTATTTCTCAGGTAAAAATCTACTTCGTATTTTAATTTGTAATTCAATACTTTGTTTTGTACAGCTTGAGATGAAAAGACAGTAATATTTAATGTTCCTTCAAACATAAAAGAGTCCTATATAAAATTTTGTTAAAGTTGCGCCCGCCATTTGACTGGTATTTTTAATTGCCGCCCCGGCCTCATGTAAGTTGGAAAGCCCTGATCTATAATATTTTCCGAAAGCAAGCAATGATCTAAAATATTATGTCAATCATCGGTGTTGGTTGTTAACCATATAGCAAATAGATTCTTGTATCACATAGTTTCAATTTTAACAAACAGATCTTAAATTTAGATGTGCATAATGCTAAATGATTAGATTGTAATGGTCAATAGAAAAAAAAATCAGAATTCTTATTTCTATAATCTATTATTCTATAATCATTCTTTATAAAACCTGATTCATTACGACTGACCCTATAAAAAAAAAGGGGGGGGGAAGCTTTGTACTATTTTGTTTACTCCAATCTCATAAAATTTTATCTTTCTTTTTAACAGGATGAAAACGACGCGAGGGAAGATTATCCCGATTTGGATGATTTGAGTTCTTTCTTCGACTTCGATCTCGTTCCTTCCAAAGAAGCAGGAAGTAACCGGAAGCGACCTGTGAGACTCCGGCCTAATCTAAGCAAGCATTACTATTACTACAAAGCAACAGATTCTTTCTACAGAGGCGACTCTCCTCCTCAAGACAAAGGCAAGCAAGTGGTAACATTAGGCTCACATTACAAACCTGAGAGCGAACCAGAAACCACTTCATCGGAGCAAAGTGCCAATGATTCGAAAGAAGCTGTTAACAGATTTGTTATGGGTAATTACCAAGTTTCAGTTGTGGACGCCAACAGTCCAGTCCTCTCTAAACTAGGACTGAATAAAGAAGATTTGGATAAATTATCTGTCTTGACCAAGCGCAGCGCTAATACCAATATCATGGGATCAGACTCAGTACACTCGCCAACATATGCAGAGAATCCTCGAACTGATTACAATCACCCTACCTATTCCCATCCACCACCATCCTATGACACATCAAGGTATACACACCACTCTCCTCCTGAGCGACATCACAGACAGGGTGAATATTACCCAGAAGACAAGCCATCTTATTCTCATGGCCACAATCCTCCTTCATATTCCTATCAACCCTCGTCCCACTCCAGTCCTCCTCCGCAAGGATCATACGATCCTAAAAGTTACAAAGTAGTTCGTAACCCTCCTCATCGCGGTCCAAGCGGTTACAATCATCCACCTCCACGTTACGATTCATATCCTCCACCAACCTCACATACTCCAAAAAGAGGATCCAGCGAGTCGTGGAAGCCTCGTGTAACGACTCATACTGATTGGGATGATAAAGATAGAAGGCAAGAATACCAGGAATCTGACTCCTATCCTCCTCATCCTTTACCATTACCACACAGAGAACCAACCTCTAATTCAGTTCCTTATTCAAAACCAGCCTACAGTTCCGATTCTTCTTCAGACAAACATGGTTATCACCACCCTTCCTCCTACAGTAAGCCCAAGACAACTTATGGTCCCTCATCTTCTAGTTCCGGTGACTACCATGCTTATAAGCCAAGTTATCAATCTTCTCCGAATTACTCCACTTCAAAATCAACTCCATCAAGAGCTGGATCTGCTGAATATCCTTCCTCATCATATCACAGTCATCACGAACCTTCAAAGCCGGCTGGAATCACAATAAAATTCAAAGGAAAAGCTCCGGGAGGACACAGTGGATTGAATATACCTCTAAGTTTCAGTCCTTTTGACGTTGCTAAAAAGTTATTGCCACAACTGAATCCCTTGAACAATAAAAAAATCACCATTGGAATAACTATTGAGAACAAGGAAAAGCAGCACCATGGTTATCATGCCTATTAATAATATAGTGATATATAATATAAATAGGCCAGAGGCCCTTTTGCAAGCCAATTATCCACTGTGATATTAAGTGATGAATTAATGACTTATTTCGTCAGTCAGCAGTCAGTTAAAGAACAAAATATTGTATACAGTAAACGATCTCTACCTAAGTTTATTCAAAACTGGCATTAATCGAAGGATTTCAGAAAAGAATCTACGGAACATTTTACATTCTAATAAACTTTATTTGAAGTTGAATAGATTATCATGACAATGGGGGACACAATTCATAATTCCCAAGCTTTGGTGAAGTAAAAGTAGAGAGATAGAGTAATAATATAAACTTAAATAAAGGTTAAGATCTTTATTATGGTTTATCGAGGAAATTACGGCTTTCCTCGTTGTAAATCGCGAAAATCAAACATTTCCCCGTTTACAACATCTCTACCATGAAAAATCGAGGAAATTAAGGTTTTTCTCGGTGTAAATCGCGAAAATCAAGGACTTCCCCGTTAACAACATCTCTACCATGGTAAATCAAAGAAATTATGTTTTTTCTCGGTGTAAAGCGTGGAAATCAAGGATTCTCTCGTCGTTAACAACATCTCTACCGTGGTAAATCGTGACAATGTTAGTTTTTTTCGTTGTAAATCGTGAGAATCAAAGACTTCCCCCTCTAACAGCACCTCTACCATGGTAAATCGAGGAAATTATGGTTTTTCTCATTGTAAATTGTGAAAATGTCGTAAGAAAGGAACTTTTTCAGGCCAGGTTCTATTACTTTTTTTAAGGCCATATTTTTTAAAGGTGTGCTTAAATTGTTTAATACTTATGTGGAAAAAAAAATAGAAAATGGAAGATTGGAAATAAGCATTAAAAAAAAGAGTTTGAAAGTGCCAAATTATAAATTCGAAGTAAAATCGATTTCAAACTTAAATGAACACAATGTCAGATGATACAATAAACTCAAAAACAAAGTAGCCATTTATGTACAAAACTTCAGCTTTATTTCATTACAATGCGCAGGGACCGACTTACAGATTTGGGGGCCCCAGTTAAAGAGCCGATAAGTTTTAGTTAACATGCAAGGTATTAAACTTAATATTGAAAAAGTATTTTTCAGACCATAAAAATTGCAAGTAACATGAAACCTTATTTAGAAGTACGTCCCCCAGATATTCAGAATTTAATTTAGTGAAATTGTTAAAAAAAAATACAAAAATTTAATAAATATGTCTAGAGGTTTTGGCTAGAATGTTAAAAATTATGAAGGAAACAAGATATTTGTACCGAAATCTGATAAAAGTAATTGAAGTCTGATAAAAGTAATCATCAACATTCGAAAATTTTTAAGATACCATAAACAACAATGATTAACTAATGCAACAAGCTTCAGAGAAATTACTAACAGAAGCTTATAGCTTAGTCTTGTAAAAAGAATGGCCTTGCACTAGAGCATTAAAAGTTGTTATAATACTGTAATAAATAATGTCAATAGCAAATTATTTTGCTCTAGTGTGAGTGCGGAGTAAATAGTAATGATATAATGGAATAATGAAATAATGCAAGTACCCCATTCATGAAATTTGATAGTTGTCCCTGTTCTAAACATTCTTTCAAAGGGATCTTCTACACAAGGTTTTGTATTGGCCATGTAATGTAAAAGATCATTTATTGGGAAAGGGGGCCCTCAAATGTTGGGGGTCCCGGGCACGTGCAACGAATGCCCTCCTGTAAATCAGTCCCTGACAATGCGTCAGTACTTATAACCTCTTAAGTGATTAAAAGAATGAAGAAGATTTTAGAAGATTATTTTCTATTTACAATTGCGATACAAATATGAAAAGTAAAAATCTCAAAGTCAATAGACAGAAGAAAAGGGAAAGAAAAACGAAATGATGTGCAAAGATCGTACGTAGCTTGAATGACTTTATCACAAAACCAATAATCTTTCAGTTTTATGTACTCGAGAGTTGTTCCCGCTGAACTTTTAGTGAACGAGATATTGATCCTCAAACCGAACCACACACATGACATGTCTTAATTTACAGGAATTGGGATAGGGTACTTACTAGCATTCTGGAATGTCTCAGATCGAAAAATTAATTATAATTATAATTATTAAATGACCTGATTATTTAGCATATCGAAACTAAAGAATATTTATAGTAAAATAATATGAATGTTCGTGATGAATAATTATTAAATAGTTTTTAGGTGATGGCCACCCTGAATATATTGGATCACCGCAGACTTCAATATATAAGGTGTTCTATAACCATTACCCTTTATATATGCTTTCAAAATCATTTTAAACAATTAACTGTAAATGTGAAAGGCGTTTGTAATTATTGCCGTTCATTTCCTTTTAGTTTGATCCGACAATCAAGCATATTCTGAAGGTTTTAATTCTATATTCAGAGCATAGTTCGTTCACCAGGAGTTGGTACTTGGCTCCGCCTTCATCACGTGGTATCCGACCATACTATTTCGCTATTTTTGGGAGAAGGATGTGAACAATCCTGAACAGGGCTGCTATTTTGCGATCGTATGACAAAAATATTTATTTCGCAATCTTAATGTGCATTTTTTTAACATTAAATATTTTATAAATTTGATGATACTTCTCTCTTTTAAGTGAATAGTTTGTCCTTTTTGAGACATTTTGTTGAGAAAATAGCAGTTTTTAAATTTCAAATATATTTAATTTGCTAGAGTAACGAGAAGTATAATAGCGGATGGTAAAGCGAAGTAAGTGACTGAAAAAGAATTTATTGTTTGCGTTTGGCGCTCATTAAGGGTTGTCTCATTTTTAAGCGCGGAAATGTTTCTTTACTTAACTTTATTTACAAAATCTGGGCACCGAGGCCGCGCAATAGGCCCATATTTCATACATCATGAAATATTACAAAAAGTTAAAATAAAAAACACTTTGAATTCAGCAGTCTATGGGGTGGCTTGAGATATTTCTCCTCTTACTCCCGCGGTGAAATGAACTCAGCGTCCGAGGAGGTGGAGGCACGTGCCAACCATAGAGTCTATGGTATCAGATATTGATATTTCATCATTTAATTATCAATTTAAATATATTTGAAATGAGAATATATATATAACTACATTCTAATTGTAATGTTTACGTAATATCCTATATTATGGCTTCAAGTCACAATGGTGAAATTCTGCATATCAAGTGTTGTGTGTGTATAGTTTGTAGTGTAACTATTATGTATATTCAGGTTTTTATAGATTTATCTCGTAGAAGTGTATAACTAAACTTCGATATGGGAAGTTTAAAAATAATAATAAAATTGAGCTTATTTTAATAATATTTTGTCTTTGAGTAGATTTGAGTTTCTTTCATTGCTATAAGTTTCTTAAATATTAAGTGTTTTAAATTTAAATCATTAAAATGAATCAACTTAATAATCTGGCATTATCTACGAGCACATGAGTGTCGCAGTTTAACGAAATTAAAATACACAATCACGCTAGGTCTCTAAATTTTATTCATAAAAAATTAATTAAAATAATTAATAAAAAATTAAAAATCAATAAGCTGGAATTATCTCTGAGCACATGAGTGTCGCAGTTTAACGAAATTAAAATACACAGTCATACTAGGTCTCTAAATTTTATTCATAAAAAATTAATTAAAAAAATTAATAAAAAATCAAAAATCAATAAGCTTGAAATATCTATGAGCACATGAGGGTTGCAGTTTCACGAAATTAAAATACATAGTCACACTAGGTATCTAAATTTTATTCATAAAAATTAATTAAAAATTAAAGATTAACAAGAAATTAAAATTAAAAAAATTAATAAAAAATTAAAATTAAAAAAATTAATAAAAATTTAAAATTAAAAAAGTTATTAAATACAAAAAAATCTTAAATTTTCTAAACAACTGTAAAAATCTTGTGTTTTTCTTTAATGAATTTAAATTGATAAGGATTGATTAGAATATTCTCTGTTTGTCCGAAATATTGAGGGGACTTTTAGAAAATGTTAATTATTGAGAAGGACATATACCCTTGCCTTGAATAGACATTTAAGATCAACTGAAACACTCTGTGTAACTGTAACTGTGCGTCTTTTGAATTTTATTTAGTTTCAATAAATTTATTCGATTCTAAACTGCTGATTTAATTTGTATAAACATGCGTTCTCAATAGCTCATTTAATTCGAATTGCACAGGTTAATTCGATATTTCCGACATAACATCATAATCGAATTAACATAATTTTGAAGTGAAATTATTCAGTTAGTTTGAATTAATAAAGGTTTGATTCGAGTTAATTCAAATTTATATTAACTCGAATTTAAATCTATTTTAATGAATTCGAATTTTCTAATTACAGTTTATAAAAAAAATTATTGCTTGGTTTTTTGAAAAATGAATATGTCATTTGTCAATTTTATTGTAAGAGTCTGAACTTGTTTCCCTTTTTATATTTTGTACTATTTGATGGAAAAAGAAATTGTAGAATGTATTATTAAAAAATATATTTAAAATAAAGTGTTGTTTTTCTTAAATAAGGAAAAAAAAAGGAATTTGAACATTTAGTTTAGTGTCTTTTGTTTGCTACCTATTAAAATGAAGAAGAAAGCATGCTTTTTTTTTCTTCTTTTTTTGTACTGATGAAAACAATTTTGCGTCTTACGTTAAATTTTTTTGAAATTTAAATCCATAATTGCCAGCTAAAATTAAATTTTTTATTAAAATTTTAAAGTTGCTTGTGAATTTTTTTAAAAATATTTTTCAAAATTTCTAGCTATTGTTAGTTTTTTTAATTGTTTTTTTTTAGCTTTAATTATTTATCTTATTTAGTAATCGAAATATTGATTTAAATTTTAAAACATGTTCTAAAATGCACTACAAAATTTCCTATACTATGTACCTTTTCTATAAATTTTTACGTAAAAAATTAAAAATAGTTCACCAAGTCAGTAGTGGTGCCATCTATCTTCTAAACCCTGAACTTAAATTTACAGCATTATTATTCTTTCTTAAAAT